TCAAGCCCCCCCCAGTCTATGGTACTTTGTTATGGCAACCTTGCAGAGTAATACAACAGGAAACAGCTGCCATTATTTCTTTCTAACAAATTAGTGCAGTTTTTGTAGCTTTAATAGCACAGGTGTTATGAAAATAACTTTGCATTGCCTACCAGAGAATCCGTTCTCTTTGTGCAACACATGCATCCCATTATGTCGTGGCTCCACCTATCTCTCTAGCCCAGTGGTTCTCAACCTTCTGGCCCTTTAAATACAATTCCTCATGTTGTGACCAAACCATAAAATTATTTTCGTTGCTACTTCATAACTGTAATGTTGCTACTGTTATGAATCGTAATGTAAATATCTGATATGCAGGATGGCCTTAGGCGACCCCTATGAAAGGGTCGTTCGACCACCAAAGGGGTCGCAAGACACAGGTTGAGAACCACTCTAGCCCCATTTCTTGTCCTTTCACTACCTTCTCAATATGGAACTACCTACAGATGTTAATTTTACAACTCCATGTCTTTCCTCTGTTCTGAACTCTTTTCTGAATTCATGTACCTGGAAGATGCCCACCAACCTTCAACACTCCAGGTAAGGGCCACTCTTGCTTTGTGCAGCCTTTCCCAGGCCCTTCAGACAGTCACCACTCACTCCTGGCACTAATTATACCTGTGCTTTCAGAGCCTTCAGTACTTACATGGTAACCTGTCCAATTATAATTTTGCTTATACAGGGTGGGGTAAAACTAGGTTTACAGTTGTGAGTACGTGAGACACAGAGTTTATTCTTGTATTCTTAGTTGTTAATTATTGCATTATTTCCATACGAACACTATAAACTTACTTTTGCCCCACCCTATATGTTTTCCTCAACAACTAGGTAGTTTTTAATAACAAGCTTAATGATATAATTTCCTCTCTTTATTGAGTTGTTGAGAAACTCAATGAAAGTTCTATTATATTAGAGAACTTTTTGAGGATGGGAGGGACAAAAGTTCAAGAGTTTTAATACTCTCATTTTTAAAATTCCATCTACAAAGGGGAAAAGAAATCTAGAATAAGTTTATTGAACACTTTTCACTGGTTAGGAATACTTAAAAGAATGATTTTTTTTTTTCATTTCATGAGTGACATTTCCTCTAGTATTATTGAACTGACCATTATCAAAATACGTGAAGACCTAGGACATTCTTATGCTTGAAAATGCCAATATTGGAAATAAACAACCAATAAGTATTTCTGACTGAAAGCAAATCTAAAGAACAGTTGAAGATTTGTGAGCAAGCAAAGGGCTAAGCTGAAGAAACCCTGAATCAGGAGCAAGGAAATCTGATTTCTAGTTCCTCATCTGCCTTTCATTACTACCCCTTGGTCAATACACACACACACACACACACACACACACACACACACACACACATTAACACATACACTGTCTATAAAATGAGGGCGTTTATGACAACTACTAATTTCCCAATGTAAACATTTTTCAAGGTGTTCAATTGTTCTGCATTGAGGTGATCAATTCTTTAAAAGTTATTCTATAATATATCTCTACAGAATTTATTTAATGTGATTTAAACATTATTGTTGTAAATACAGAGTTGTGATTTTGAGGTATGACGCTGAGAATAGGCAATACTACTCACAGTGCCCGGTTCTGGCCAACCCCACATGGCTATAGACTTTTACTGACTCACTCACCAACTAATCTAAAAATGTTTTAGCACTTACAGTGTGACAAGCACCTATCCTCACTTAAAGAATCTACTTTAAAGGAAGAAATTAGTTCATGCATAGGCAATTATATGGTATAGAAATTGCTGGTTTTTAACCTGATTCTGTGTGCACATGCTTAAACATCAATGTGAAAGGTTAAAATTTAAAAGTGCAATGTTAAAATTCACAGTGCTTGTACTGCTGTGAAATGTGATTATATACACACACACACACACACACACACACACACACACACACACATATATACTATTTATCCCATGTGTATAAGCTATTTATCCCAAAATTTTACTGCTTTAGTAGCAAATCTTTAATAAATAATATATAGAAGAAAAATTAATGAAACAGCACATGAATCACATTGACCACTGGTCCTGCTTGCTTTAAGCAGCTTAGTGATCAATACAGTTCTTAAGGCATTTCACAGAGGCAGCCCTGCGATTGTGCCACCCCTGTCCCACTGCTGCCCCCGGGGCAAAGTCTTGCCCCTTCCCATTGGAACCAAGGGATTGGGCCTTGACTGGACCTTGAACACTGGGACCCTGTCAGATGCAAAGGATCCAGGAAGATCCAGTGCTGAAGCCCTCACCATAAATGATCACATTCCAAAATCTTCCAATTAAAACTTGCCCCACCAGTGATTCCACATACCTGTTCTCTATAACTTCTTAAAACCCTCTGATTGGCCTTCGGGAGTTCAGGTTTAGAGCAATAACTTCCCATTCTCACCAGGCAATAAAGCAACTTCAATTTCTCCATTGCAATTCTAGGTGTTTAGTGTTTGGCCCTGCTGTGCACCAGAAGGGAGGCACTCTTTTTCTGTTTGTTACTTACTAGTAAGAAAACTCTTTGGGGACTGATGGTAGGCGATGTTTGGTTTGTATAAGAATTAGTACTTTCTTGTCAATACAACTCTATTTTGCTCATTTCAGCTATTATAAGTCTACAAATAGTAGTGGCATACTAATATGAAAATACAACTTACCTTAGAAATATTATAAAAATTCGGAGAGATCAACCGAAGGACTTGTATGTATGCATATAAGCATAACCAATGGACATAAGACACTGGGGGGTAGGGGAGGCCAGGGGATTGTCAAGGGCGGGGAAAAAAAAAGGACACATATGTAATACCCTTTGTAATACTTTAAGCAATAAAAAAAAGAAAAAAAGAAAAGGCTCAGAAAATAAAAATAAAATAAATAAAATAAAATAAATAAAAAGTAATTTTCATTTTGAGGCCAATTTTCTTTTGCATTAATCAGAAGTTTTTGCATTTTCTTATTTATATTTTCAAACTTTTATCAAAGTTAAAGACACTGCATGAATACTTTCTATGACGAGGCAGACCTGAGAAATTACTTAGAGAAGCATAGCCAAGGCAATAAATAAGATGATATCGTCTTTGAACAGTTTAGGGCAGAGTTCCTCAAAGGGGGGGGTTCATTTACATATTCTCTGAAACCTGCAAGTCCTCACACTTTAGAAACATTGAACTCGGGCTTGATCCATTGTATCCTACCCTCAGTACTAGAAGGTACATGAAGCTCACCAAAGAGAACTTTCATTAGGTCTGCTTTCAGTTCTCCACTCACTCAGCTCCTGCATTCTCTGGTAGCTCCCCTAATCCTTTGTTTAGGTCCAGGATCAGACCTAATTAGTCATTTAATTCATACCCACCCTGGTTAACAACCCAGTCTACAGGATGAAACATTGAATCTTACTCATACTCCTCCTATGTATTTCAATGTGTTCTTCCATATCAAAGTCCCCATATTGGATCCCCCATATTCCACGATTTTTCACATTAACCTGATCCCTTTTCCTCAGTTTAGTAAAGTGATTATATGTTCAAGATAATACATTTATGTAACTATGACATAGTATAAAACATGGTGCAATGAGAAAAGAACACAGTATGAGATGAGAAACAAAAGAAAGACTACTGCTTTACTGCTATCTCTATAGATCTTGGTTACATCACTTGATATCTCTATTTCTTCATCTGTAATGATAATCCCAGATTATCTACTGATTTCTATGATGAATGCAATAACAGGTACAGAAATGCACTATAACTGTCATGATCCCAATATGGAATATTCTCATTAATTATTTGTGAAGTCTTTGGCTGAGGCCATAGGAACTTAGACTTATTTAAAGGCAAAACTGTCTAACTTTGGGTAATCTGAATTGTACCTAAACCTTGGTCTCTGAATGCATACATGGAGATAATCCTACCTCATGGAATTATTTTAAGCATTTCATAAAACAATATAAATAATTCTTAGTCTAATGCCTGGCTCTGGTAAATGCTCAAAAAAATAGTATTTTCAAATAATGACTGAGGTTTGGAGTATGCATTGACATTACTATTTTTATCTGATTCAATTATATTAATAAAAACTGTAAAATTATAATGTCTGAGGAATTTAAAATACTAAAGCAGAGTGTTGATCCAAATTCTGAAGTCATTGAACTTTAACACAAGGGAAGTAGCCACAAGAACATACTGTTAGGGATGTTTATGTAAATGAATCTAAAATGTTTCTTCTCTTATTCATATGTCCTCTTGATGTAAAGGAAGGAAAAACACATAGGTGATGCAATACCTCAGTTCATATCTCCTTTCATCAACTGATAAGCAATGATCAGAGCTAAACAAAAGCCTTGTAGCTACAGGGAGAAAGAGATTTTTCTTCTCCCACATTGCAGCTTAGAGATTTGTGGCTGAGAAAATGACTAAGTAATAAGCAAATAAAAGACCACTTAGGAACCACAAAGAAACTCTTCCCAGAACATATTGTGTATGCTGGTTGGATGTATCAGCATTGTTCACTTTAGCTCCACATCCATATTTCATATGAGTTAAAGTGGAGGGAAGCACCCCAGAGAATTAATACTAAAGGTGTCCCAGAAATTACTGAAAGGTTCATGTACAGTCTTCCTTTGCTTCCAACTTATTTTTGAGAAAAGGAAAGATGTTTGGCTACAATATGTATGTTCTAGCAGAGGTCCATTAACATTTTCTCATGAAATTAGTTTGCTTGAGAGACTCAGACATTATGTTCCAGCTTAGTAGAAATCAAAATTAATATTATACAAATATAATTTGCCTCTTGGCCTCAATTTGCAAGTTCATCATCTTGAACCACGGTAAACAATGAGAAAACATATGAAAGATGCCAGTGAACTGAAGGAGACTATCGGTTTCATGCAAACCCCTTTACTTCTTAGGGCGCTTGGACACACAGTGCTTTTTATTTCCTTACTTACCAAGGGCTTGGTTTCATCTTCATCTTTGAAATAATATAGCTGATCTCCCTTGAGCACAAACCAGCGGGTATGCCAAGTCTTGACAAAGCCTCCTTGCTTCCTCAGCCACCCACACTTCACAGCATTATTCCGCCCTTGGCCTTGTTGGGGGTTCTCAGCGGAGTCATTGTTCTCCTCCATTATCAAGCTGATGGGCTTTCCTATTTAACAAACAAACAAAAGAGATAATAAGGTGCGTGATATATTCACTCCTGAAAATTACTCATACTTCTTTTAAAAAAACAGGATGAGGAGTGAAAAATGTATATCAACTCACTTGCCAAATTTCTAGAAGCAAACCACAAACCTGACAACATTGTGCCTGGGGAAAACTTGGAATTTGTTGTGTCTTCCTTAAGTGAGCTAGTCAGCTGGCCAATAACATCCCTTTTTTACTAAGTAGATCTAAAGATGGGAAATTTCTGGAGGTAATGTGTTAAGAAGCAATTTTTTTTTAAACTAAATCAACCAACAAAAACCATAACTCTCATGATAATGGGCCTCTGTGTCTGGTGTGTACTGATTGGGGCCCATTTGCACAGGCCTGTGATTATCTGAGCAAACTCTAGCCTGACACATGTTAAAGTTTAAAGGGACTATTTTAAAAACCTCAATGGAAGACATTTGTTTTACATATGTGAAAATTTCTCAAGATGTATCTGGCCCCTTTTCCCCAAAGTGTATCCTATTGAGAGTTTCTTTGGCCGGTCAGGAATCAGTGCAGCTGAAAAATTTAGGGAGAAAAAAAATAATTAAAAAAAAAAAAAAAAAAAACAGCTCAGCCAGTTGAGTTTCCTTCAAATACCAGGACTAAGTCAATTGCATGATGAAGAATGTTGCAAGGTTATGTGTGAAGGAGTATAGGATCATACACACTATACTAATACATGGCAAGGAACTTAGTTTATAGTAGAGAAAATCTTAATCACCAGGGGAGAAGCTGAACTGCCACAGTGAAATGGGGAGGTGGCTTTCTGGGAGAAGCAGAGACAAGTGGCTAAGAATAAAAGATATTTTCCTGCCCCGAAGGCTTTCTGCAAATTCTTACTAATATTGCATATTTGTATGAAAAGTCCATTCTTACCCTTGTATCTTTGATGAGGATATAAAGATACACACTAAGTAATAAAACAGAATATTTCTGTTCTGTTGTTTCCAGGCACAAAGCTCCTACTTTTCTGCTTGATTCCAGAAAACAAACTGACTTTTTGTCTAGTCCTACTTTTCACCATTGATTTTTCCATTGATTTGTATGTACACCGTCCTAATTCTAAATTCCATGAAGTTCCCATTGTCAGCCCTTAGTTATTTAAGTTTCTTCTTTGAAGGGACAGGGTCAGACCTTCCATTATTGGACCTTTAGTTTCTGACTTTAGTCCTGCTCTCCCAGTTGCAGAGATGAAGCAGTACTTTGGCTCTAATTAATCAGGTTGTGAGCATCTCAACCATCTTCTCAGTAGCTTTGCCTCTTCCACTGGCATGCATTCCAAGCTATCGCCATCCTTGCTTTCATCTCCATCTCTATAAACTACCTTTAAGCTCAAGTAGGCCACTTGACCACCATCTGTCTCATTCAATATTCAGTTTCCTTTTTAAACCGAAACATCCTTCTCACTAAATAAGCCCTCATCTCTATAAAACATCTTGAAACTTCCTTTGCTGCATAAGGCATTCCCAAGTCAGAAACACCTTCCTGCAGGGAGCATTCCCCCATCGTGTGCGTGCATGTGTGTGCAGATTGAATCATGCCCAATGCTTCACAGTTTGTTACGCCCTCAGGGCAGGAACTTTCATCTCTTTTCTTTTACATTACTTGACCAAGTATAAGGAACCATGTAAAGCTCACTCTAAATGAATAGTAAATGCTTAACATAATTTAGATAATAAGTATGCTTATTTAGACCACTCTAAATAATCGTTTTGGTCTCCCGGTATTTAAATTGTTCAAATCTACACAAGTTGTGATTTCATCAGCACCTATTTATTCTTTGACCAAATACCTTAACTTATAAAGCTGAACTTATAAAGGTATTCCTTAAAACAAACATTCTAACACACACACACACACACACACACACACACACACGCCCCTAGAATTCATGCACAACAGACTCTTTCCTTTGGCCCTTTTTCTTTTTTCTTTCCTCTTATAATTCATGTTTTCTATTAAGTTTGAAAAATACCCTCTAAAATTCTTCAAGGTAATTAGGAGCCTACCATCAATAATGTAAAAAATACAACTGCCCAATTTTGTTTATATCTACCATTAATGCCTTAGAAAAAATGTGTGCACATTAGAATATTGTTTATAATTCTTCTTACATAAGTTGTTTACAAGTCTGGTGAAACCAATGACACCATCACCCACTGAACTCCTGGCTATGATGCCTCCAATTTCATAACTTCAGAATGCATCAGCAAGTATTTCAATAGCACTAATTGTAACAATTCATTAAACAGAAATGAAAACAGATCGTATCATATCTCCAAGAGAAAGTAATGCCACAACTATTGCTGGATGAGTAAAACTAAGGCTTATTAAAATAACTATGATTTTTCTAGAGGAGTCTTGATATTTCTTCAGAAATTAAATGGCTCAAATTCTATCCTTCACCTATAAAATGACAATGTTGGCCCGGATCATTTCTAACTATGGTGCCTTCCAGCCCACTGAAGTCCACCACCTCTCTAATTCCATAAGCTTAAGGACACTAGATATCCTCCGCACTTCATACCATGTCTGGCATATGGTGAAGCTCAATCAATGTTTGATGAATTAATAAATATTGCAATAGGTTTGGTGCTAGATATCTAGAAGTGAACATGACCTCCCTCTGAACGTGATCCTGCCCCAAACCTGATCTTAGTAAATGGCACCATGATACACACAGATGGAAAAAAAATAATCATCTTCGAGTCCTGACTCCTCCTCATCGTGACTATCAGATCCATCAGTAAGTTCAGAAATATTTTCAAATCCATCCGGTTGACTCCATCTTCATTGCCACCCTATGATCCAAGCCATCATTATCTTTGACTAAATGATTCTCATAGCCCTCCAGCTGGTCTCATAGCTTGTGGTCTCATTTTTAGCCACAAACACTAAGACACGGGCACATGCTCACACATATTTTATTCTCCACAAAGAAGCCAAAGTGAGCTTTTAAAAAATTAAATCAGATAATGATTCTCTACCCTTAAAATTTGATGCGCTCTAATTATGCTTCTTTTAAAATCTGGAGCCTTACCATGACCTATACATCAGGAATCATGTGGCACCTATTTATTTATTTATTTATTTATTTATTTATTTATTTATATTTTTCTTGATTTCAGAGAGGAAGGGAGAGGGAGAGATAGAAACATCAATGATGAGAGAGAATCATTGACCGGCTGTCTCCTGCATGCCCCACACTGGGGATTGAACCTACAACCCAGGCATGTGTCCCCAACCGGAATCAAACTGGGGACCCTTCAGTCTGCAGGCTGATGCTCTATCCACTGAGCCAAAGCAGCTAGGTCGAAGTACCTATTTATTGATCTAACCTCATCTCATGCCATCTACCCTTCAATCCCCCCATTCCAACACATACACACACACACACACACACACACACACACACACACACACACACACACCTAAAAGCCCTGATGCAAGCAAGCACACCAGCTTACTACCAGTTCTGGAAACACCCAAGTCCTTTATGCCTTGATGATTGATACCTACTGATCTCTGCCTGAGCTACTCTGCCCTGTGCTCTTTAAAGGCTGACTCTCATTCTCTAAGTCTCAGCCTAAAACTACCTCCTCTGAACAAGGCTTTACTAATCACGCAGTGAGTTACTTACCCTCTTGTTATTCTCTAACTGAACTCTGTCCTGCCTTCCTGACACTTCTTGAAGTTGGTACTTCTTTAGCTGTTTATAGCTAATCACCCCTCCAGGAGATCATAAGCTTCAGAAGGCCAAGGACTTGCTTTTCCTCACTGCAGTTTACCCAGTACCTTTCAGAGTGCTCACTTGGTGTTCAGTAAACAATGTAAACTTGGTGAATGAAGCTATGTAACAACCACAGTAGAATTCATACAAGAATATTGTGGAGAGTTTTTACATTGCATTGAATTTCTTTTTTTTTAATATATTTTATTGATTTTTTACAGAGAGGAAGGGAGAGAGATAGAGAGTTAGAAACATCGATGAGAGAGAAACATCGATCAGCTGCCTCCTGCACATCTCCTACTGGGGATGTGCCCACAACCCAGGTACATGCCCTTGACCGGAATCGAACCTGGGACCTTTCAATCCGCAGGCCAATGCTCTATCCACTGAGCCAAACTGGTTTCCGCTGCATTGAATTTCTTAAAGAAGATTGTATGCTCCAAGAACTTGATTTGTTTTCCTCTGACATAGGAGACTTTAGCATCAAAACTGTTCTTAAACACAATGTCAAAATCTTCAAACTTAAATGAACTGAAACAGTCCTTTATGAAGAAATATAACCTTCAAAATTTACACGTGTTAGCCTTGTAGGAAATGCACGCAGTCAATTGTGGTTAAGCATGAAGAAAAGTGTAGTGTCGTCATTCAGCTTCTCAGAGAATAACCTAACTGAATCTCCTCTGGGAAAGGACTTCCACTGTGTTCAGGGGGTGGCAACTGGATGGTACCTGAGATGACAGAGTAGAACTATCAACTAAGGTGTTTAATCTGTCAACCTAACAATGACAATATAACAATAACATAATTTTTTACTCTAAACTAACAAAAAAATAATTGAAAAGTTATGTCTTCATATCAATCTTAGAAAAGAGCCTTAATGATGGCTACTGTACCATACCAGGGCTTAGAAAGTTACCATCATTTGATGGGTTTATACCTTTGAATTATCTTCCAGGTGTGGGAACTGATTTGCACATCTATGTGTATGGTTCTTTTTTTGCATCCAGGTGGTCTAGGAACACAACAGTATCACATGGTGCCATCTGAGATGAAATTCCTGCTCCTAACAGAATTTCTAAAAGTCCAACAGCCACACACATAGGTATTTATATTTGTGACTTCAAGAGAGAATATATAAACATGCATGTAATCAAAGAAGTATAAAAGTAAAATGCCATATGCCATAGAGTTGCAGTGTGTTTGGATTCGTCTATGGGACTACA